CGGCACCCATGAAAATTGTTATGTCAGGAGGTAGTGGCATTGCAGGTTTTTAAGTTTCACTATCTTAATATTGATGGACGTGCTGCACGAGGTAATAATAATGCGGTAATTAACTGCTTCTTTAACAACCTGCGGCGAGGGTCGCGAGTAAAATCAGTTCATAACCTCAAGGCATTCATGAAGGGAAATGCCGTCACTGCTGGCTCATGAATATGAATTGATAGCGAGGCCCATGTCTTATGAGAAGAGCTACTTAATTTGGTAGGTTCTGCCAGCACAGATTGGATGTTTAAATTTATTTTGTTGAATTCACCGTTGTACAATGTTATTCAGAGATAGACTCATTCACAGGCTAATGAAAGATTACTTTGAAAATACAATTTGACAGTTTTGTACAAAATTGGCTTTGAAATTATTTCTTCGTTTATTAAAATTGTTCAAGTTCTTGATTGTTTTTTTCTGATAGAGATGAAGCTGCTAACTTGGAAAGATTCAAGATTAAATCTAAAATGTATGAGCCTTTCTTTAAAAAATCGCCCGATATAATGCGTAAGCTATTATATATGTGTCGATGTCGACATAAGAAATCTCCAGGAAATGTCGTCGCTATCATGAACTGTTGTGTCGACAGAGGACTCGTATTTTGACGAGCGCTGCGCCGGAAACGAGGAAGTTTTTGTGTCGTAAACCCTAAAGATTTCTGTGGCCGAGAGGCTTACTTGATGGCCTCGTGATCGATTCATTTGAAACAAATCGCGCCATTTGTGCCGGCATTGCGGAACATTTACTTCACAATTCTGAGATATGACGTCGTCTGCTGCAGTGGACTGGTCTGTTTCGGACGACGATGCATTTCTTTTTTATATCATTTTTGCTGCGACAGAAATTGATCTTCGATTTAAAGAACTGCTGACGTCAGTTAATCTCCTTACGCGTATATGAGCAGAGTATCCATTTGGAGAAACGATATATCCATCTCGGCATCTTCATCTTTGTGGCATTTCTATGATGCCCATATAATTCGAATAGCAGGTTTGACAGGTATTTTAGCGAATATGTAATATATTCACCTTCCTCCGATTTGGATTTCAGTAAATCTTCTTGCTCTAAATAATATCTGGCGTAAATAAACAATTTTTTCTTGTATACATCAAGAAGTCCGACAAAATTTTCTCGTATATTATAGCAATGTTAAATAAACTAGACCAAAATAAAAGCAAATATAAACCAATATTTAAACCCTCTATAAGGGTGAGTTTATAGGGTGCATCCACATTGCACTTTGTTTCACAATGTGAACTGCCGTCTAATTTCATCATTACGATAGTATTCTTTAAAACGCATCGATCGTAAAATGACGTCGTCATACATCTCTTACGTCAATCTCATCCGACCATTCAATCTTTCTTCCACCCAAATATATTATAACTTCCAGTTTCTGCGACCCAAATATCACACTACAAATGACTTCTTGGACAAAAACATCATACCACAAACGTCCTCGATATAATACAATTCGCTCCAAGGCACAATAATTGGTCGATACTACAATAATCCAGAAACGAATCAGCACAACAATAAAAGTATCCTGACACAGAAGCATCCTGTGAGATGAGCATCTTACGACACAAGCATCCTGCGACACTGGAATCTTACGACATACACATTCTGTGACTCGACTATCCTAAGACATAGTACCACCACCAAAACAGAAAGCACCAACACCTTACAACCCCAACAACACCGATCGAGCAGCAACAGGTTACGACCCAAATATCATAAAGCAGCAACATCTTACAACCCAAACATCACAGAACATCAACATATTGCGACCCAAACATCACAGAGCACCAACAAGTGCCCAGTTCGCAGGATCAGCAAGTCGCCTGTTCCAGCAAAGTAAGTTTGTTGTTGCGTCTTCAACAGAAGAACTTGAGGCTGACTCGTGTATTGACAAGCTTCGTAGCTGCGACAAGCAACATCGTGGAATTGGTCAAAGATTTCTAGATAGTATGTTTCGACCACACAAAATCAATAATTTAAATAATGAAACTTTACGTAAAATTTGTGAAATTTTTTACTTATTAAATCGACATAGACGGTAATTTCTGTGCGTAATTTCAGTGAAATATGAGTAAATCAATGTATCTGTGAGAAAAGTTTTGATTCGCTATTTCTGTTTAAATTTAAACTTAAATGAAAAGCTATTTCTGTTTAAATAAAGGATAATAGAGAACTCTGTCACAAATTCGCCCGCAATTGAGAAGCTTAAACATTGCGATGAAAATCGCCCCCTTTTGTTATTTGTTTCTGTTCATATTTTTAGATGTGGAAACCACAAAATGTCAAGAACCATTACATTTTGCGGCATTCTCTACAAGACACGCAATCTAGGAAAGAAAATTCCCACTTCACATTTGACTGAGATAAATGCTGCTAGCTGCCGTCCAAAAATCCATGCTAATCGTACTGAATCTCCACGGCACAATTTCCACCGAGTCAAAATATTCATTGCTTGGTCTTCACACTTATTCACATTGGAGCAAAACGACGAGATAAATCACGCAGTCGCTAAATGTTGCCCTCATCTCCCGTAGACTTTTTTAGAGGTATAGGAAAACCTTTTTCCGACTAAGACAAAATTTGTCAGGTTTTGACTCAAAGATGTAATGAAAGCTTTGGCATAAAAATCCATTCAAGCGTTATGAGCGATGAGAGAAAGACAGTTTTCTGACAGTCTCGACGGTCATTCTCTTCCCATGGGATAAGATGAATATTTACAGCGAATAATTATGTTCCTCAAGAAATGCGTTAGGATTATAGAGTTTTTGAAGGCTGGAAGAAAAAATCAGCAGCGTGAAAACTTCAAGAACGTCGGCTGATTCCCTCACTGAAGGTCTTTTGAGGTCGAGCGGCGCCTGGGGGACTCGTAGAGGCTTGAAAATATTTCAAATCTTTCACCCAAAATAGAGACGGATTAAAATATTTGGACTGATGGCTGAAGCTAACCTAGAACTCTATAACTTAAGAATGCAAGATGGAATTTTCAGCATATGTATACATTCCACTAATGAAAATAATTTGGTGCAATTTATATATAGTGGCTCCTGTTAACTTCAACGGATGGATTCAACTCTAAATGTTCATCTGGTATATTTTGGCTCCAGAAAAGCTGATATTATTTCGAGCAAAATTTAATATAAAACCGCAGAGGTTAATTAGCTTTTAAGGGCTGAATGGAATAAAATAAATAGGCTTCTTTTAATTGCATTGCATACTTCACTCGTTGGCGTGGAGTGGCCAAAAAATTAGCGATGCGTTTGGATATTCCTGTACATTGCGTTAATTACGATGGATCTTCACACGATTCGGCCGCCATCAACACACTTGTTAAAAATGTCAGCCCTCGTCATATATTGCGCACATTCATCGATTTTAAACTTTCGACTGTCGTAAAGAATTTAAAATTATTTTGCAATGAAAAAGCTTTATATTTTTCAATTTGAAATATTCAGCGCTGGCTTAAATAATGATTTGGCCTTAATAACTGTCAATTTGTTGCTTGATATTCACGGCTATAATGATAAGGAAAATTTTGCTCATATGTGCAACGACGACTACGAACTGAAATGTAACAACTGAATAGAAGTGTAAATTTTATCGCATGCGGCATAAATAATTATTATCCATCGAACACACGGTTGGTAATCACAATTATTCATTACACTTAATGAACTTGTGTTTGAATTCATTCCTCCCGTATATGAATAATTATTATTCCTAAAATATGTTTGGTAACTTTTTTGCTACTAGCTTAATGCTAAACTAAATTGATGTTTGGGCACATAATATTTGTTCAAAATATTTTAAGAATTTGTTTACTTCATAATCATCGAAGTTTTATTCCGTTTCCACCCATCATCTTCGACCCTCAAATTTTTGTGGCGGCAACGAACCGTCTGTCGAGGACTGGCGTAAAATGCATTCACGTGAGGCCGGAGAGAACATCAAGCAATCTTTGATCTTATTCTAAAAAACACGAAATTTTCTGCCCTCGGGTGAAATTGAGCTGTTATAAGTTTCAGGTGATAATTGTGTCGTTTATATGTCTCGTGGAAGACACTGTCTGACGCATTCATTTCAGAAAGAAAGCCGAAGATGTCAATGCTTTAATTAAAAACACGAAATTTCCTGTCCGCGGTTGAATTTGAGCTGTTATATAAGTTTAATGTGAAAATTGTGTCCTGCGGAAGTTGCTGACTGGCGCATTAATTTCAGGAAGAAAGCCGAAGATGTCAATGCTTTATCGAAGCATTATAGATCTTTTGGGTTTCTCCTAAAGAAGAATTATTTCAGCGAGGCTGGTCTATGCCAAGCTGCCTTACAGCTTTATAAATCAGCTCTGATGACAAAAACCGAAAACTGCGGCGTCGAACTTATGCTGCCAATGAATGGTCGTCCATTTCCGATGAGGACGAAAGATGGTTCCTCAATCGAAGTAGAATTAGAGTCGAAGAAAATGGCGGGGTATTTGGAAGAATTTTAGACAACGTTTATGAGGGAACGGTAGAAAGGTAAAATCATTGAACAATTTTTCATGCAGATTGATGACAAAATATGTAAAGTTGAATTCTTCGAAATATTTCTTTATAGCACAAATCGATGCCGAGGCAATTTTAGCCTTGAAACAATACAGGCAGAATTTGCATCAAGGGAGATATGAAGTATAAAAATGCTATACAAAATGCTTCTAGAAACAAATACCTTAAGCAATTTAGTTCAAAATAGACAGCTAGAGATAGCAGATAACATTTTCCTATAAAAGCAATATTTTTAAGTTTACAGCATCAGTAAAAATGTAACGGGTTCAAGTTACAAACGAGAAATACCAAAACTTTCTTCTAATTTGTTAGTTGGGACTATAGAATGTCAGAATTAAGGGTCCTAATAATGACACTATTATTATTAACTTTACTAAGGGTTGGTCACACGGTACTCACCGATGACGGTAGCGAGGATCATGAGGGCGAGTACGGTGGCCGTGACCACGGTCCTGACGGTCTCCTGGCTGGCCGTGAGTCCGTACTCCGCATGCACGTCATCACTTGCGTTGCTCCAGGAACAATTGCTCCAGTTCCCGAAACTCCCATTTTCCCACTCGGTAAAGTTGTTCATTTCTATTGAAATGTTGCCGATGTCGCTGAAGTTGGCCATTGTGCTGATGTTTGCCAGGAAATGGTCCTCTGAGAGTGGGGCCCATCTTTGAGTTGCACCTGAAGCTCGAGAAGTGATATCTCTTGTTGAAGTTAGAGGCTGTGGTGGTGATTGAGATATTGAATGACGTTGGGATACTATGGAAGACAGTGTTGGTGACCAGCTTGATGTTGATAATAGCTGTGTGGACAATATATGCGTGGGTGATTTTGGTGTTGAAAACAACAACTGAGGTGGTGGTGATGGACCTTTAACTGAATATGGCGTCAACTCTGACGTAGTTGGGGATAATTGGAAAGTCGTAGAATTAATTGTTCTTGTGGTAATGTGAAAAAGAAAAGGACTAGAATTTGAATAGTGTCCGGGAGTAGGATTGCTCCCGAACCGGAATAGTTGCGAAGCTAGCAAAGCATCGTTCGCCGCGTCTTTCGGAACTCGGGGACTGAGAAAATTATAGAGGATGTCCCAATCGTGAGAGCTTCTATATGCGCTGTCGGAAGCTGAACTTATTGCAGGCAAATGTGAAGAAGAGACAAAACTGCGGAATGATTCTGCTTCCGATGAAAAACTGAAGAAAGGTTCAGGCATGGCACTTGAAACCAAAGGACTAATCAAGATTGAGGTGACCACTCTGTATCATTGCGGTCGTTGGCCTTTTCGTTTATAAAACTAATAAAACTTCCTAAATTCACTCAATAAATTATGCAACATAAAAAATACCATTAATAAAACTGATGGTGTTACACTACTGTTTGAAAAAGTTTTTTGGATCACATAGCAGCCCATACTATTTCTAAACGGCTATGCTATTAGAACTACATGTGATGGTAAACTCGGACTCAGCCGCCTACATCGCATCAAGTTTTAATTTGACGCATAAAAAACATTTCAAATCATTTTAGCAGTATGATTTTTAAAACAAGTTTACATTTTATCATATCTCTCACATAATTATAACTCAGTGTTGAATGAGAACCAATTTTTTGATGACTTACAATGCCTTGTCTTTTGCATCACGAATAAAGTTACAACTTCACTAGTCACACATATTCTGCCATTGATTTTCAGCATTTTTACACTTTATGGAAACGCTTTCTGCCCCATGGCGAGAGTCTAGGCACAATTTTTAGCCTGTATACATTATGGGAAGTTGCTAAAATGTTCTTCAAGGAAGAATCTGAAAAGTAGAAGAAATACTCTTGTGTTAGTGAATTATCAGAAAGACTTAAACGATTTATAGAATAAGAAATTGCTAATGCTAATAGCTTATGTTCAATGAGAGATCGATGCTCATTGAAATTATTACTGAATTGTGAAAATTGCAATATTTATTTATGAAGAATTGGAAATCATATTTATGAACGCAACGGACGAGTCTCGAAGCACCAATTTGACCATACGGCTAAATAGGTCGTAATTAAATTCCAGGGCATATGCAATAGGAGCAATAGGAAGTAATGGAAGTAAAATTTGAAAATGGAGTCTGATTAATTATCAGTACAATTTGGTAATTAAATATACTGGTAAAATTCATCAGAATTGTTCCAGTACTTGCATTCAAATGATGAATTTCAATACATCAGTGTTCCTTTTTAATAGAAGAAACAGACAGGTGAGAAAGTTATTTTTCGTTTGTGAACATAGATCAGCTATCATCAAATGTTTGTGAGCATCATCAAATGTTTGTAAGCATCAAATGTTTGTGAACATAGATCAGCTGTGACATGGTTACATTAGGATTCCGGCATCTGATTCACAATTTTTGGAACTTAAATACTCATAATAACGTTTTTAAATCATAAATATATCTCCCGAAAAACAAATAAAGAGGTTGTTTCCTTCCATGCAATCCAGCACTTATCTTCAACTGTTAAATCATATTAAAAAACACGCCCTTGAATGGATGCCCACTCGCACAACAAAAGTTCAGAATAAATGAGTTGCAATTTATTTAATTCTAATAAGAGTTTAATGAACGGGCCTGCAAGAGCGGGGATGTAGTTGGGCCAGTCAAGCCGGAACTCTTACTCAATTCGATGCATTAAGTTTCTGCGAACTTAAATTTCTTTGAACTAACTTGCCCAACTTGTCTCACAATACAATCTACCGCGCACAGCACAACTAATCAAGAAATCGCGCTAAAGCAAAACATTGTTCTCTGTTGCGAAGACAACGTCTACAAGAGGCTTGGCCCTGAAAACATAGTTTGCTCACAATGTTGATAGTATCGTTCGTTCGTTCATGGAAAACTACTCTGAAATATTTTTGTTCGAGAAAACACGTGTATTTTTATCATTTTGTGTATAATGAGTAATGTTACTTGAAAATTTTCATCATTGTGAATTTGTTTCTGGCCATTTTTAGTTTAGAATTTACGGAATTTGGAATGCGGAAGGTGTACCTCAATAGATTAGTCTGCGGTGCATGATCGAGGAGGCCGAGTGGAGACATTTAGTTTGTTAGTTCATGACTTGTATTATTAAATGTATACATTTGAATTGACATGAGTCCATGTTAATATTTTGCTCGCGCATTTGTTTACTTTATATTTTATTACTCTAATGTACAAAAAGTTAGAGATTTAATTATTGTTTATTTTGTTCTCCGTGGATTGCCGCGAGACTTGGTCTCACGCTGATTGTAAAATGAAGAAGCCAAACTTGAAATTCTCTTTATCATTAAATATCAGTTGACCAGCACATCACTTTTGTATTAAACAGAAAATTTGTGCTATAAAGAGATTTCAAGTGAAGACATTTAGTAAATAAATGACCTTATACACGCTTATGTAGGCCAAGTTGGTCGGCCGCGGGGACCCCAACATTAAATTTATAAAATAAATTGATGTTTCAAGAATGCACGGCTGAATGGAATCGGAATGAAGTTTTCTACAGATTATAAGTAAGATAATCGAGAAATTCAAACGGATTGACGAGCATTTTTTTACGATTTCTTAGCAGTATAGAAAGACAATGTCTGTGTTCAAAGCCACATGTGTTTTTGATGAGGGAGATTACCCGCGGAGATAAGCGACGGTATATTGGTGAAGCTCATTCTAAAAAGTTTATATAATTGATATAAGAGCCTAAGAAATCTTCTGCAAAATATTTAAGTAAGACAACGAAATAAATTCTACAGTTTTTATTCGAACCTGGCAAATAATTCTTAAATATTATCCAATATTTCCGGACCAAATTAGGCCGAAATTTTTAATTTAATTTACACGCATATAACCATGACCTAAAAATTTATTTCTTCGATAAGATTGTTTCGTTGATATTTGACTAAATTCCATCCTTTCTCTCTTTGATGACCAAATCTGAATCACATTACTGCATTTATTTCTTCTATCAACGTGGCAAGTCGTGAGCGTTTTCTGTCATAACATTTCTTGTAGATGGTCTGCCTAGCTGGCCGCTGGCCGCTTGTGCTGCTAACCATCACTCATGTGGAGGTCGACTGCTCACAATGACTGCGAATTACTCAGCGCTCAGAAGCCTTTTTGCTCAAGTCTCGGCCTGCATCGTTGGTCTCATGCAGTATTTGTATTGGACGCTAGACCACCATCGTTAGTCGCATGCAGTATTTGTATTGGACGCTTGCAGCCTCCAGCCACTTCCTTCACACAAGACTGGCAAAATTTTTCGTACAAAATCCAGACATTTCACGTTCATTCCAATGCCAGTTAACTGGAATAGGCCGGAAATGGCACGGAAAACTCTTTCCTGCCTGAAATGACGAATGAAAGAACTAATTCAGAAACTCTCCTGGATTTTCTTGGATTAAAGGAGTTTAGATGCTTTGCAACACCGGTTGCATAATTGAATACGTACAGAAAACAAATTCTTCATGATCCGTTTTTTTGTCTTCCGACGGAATTTTCGACGATCTCTGGAAAATCATCCGAAATAACGATGATGTGGAAATGTGCTAACATTTCTGAAATTGCGAATTTTATCCAGGCGAGATTTTAGCCGAATTCTAGAAAAATATCCCGAGAAAAATTCTGAGCAAAACACAAATCAGGAAGTGCGACAACACCAGTCGGTAGAAGCGGGAAACATTATTGCAGCACATCACACATCTTGTTTACATCCTGAGGCGGAAACTTCGAATTTCTCGACGCATCGGCCATAAAAGTTTTGCACTTTTACGGTACTTTTTTTGCACCAAAAATTGCACTGTTTGTTCAGGCTTGCTACTAATGTAAAGATAATTTTTAGGGTAAATTACCCATAACTTTAGCATCTTATAGGGCGCTTCCTCAACACGTCTTCCGTGTATCATTTTATTGGACACTCGCCCTCGCTCGTCGCATCCCTCAGAGCGTCGTCTCTTGTACCCTCGGAATGTGCATGTTTGAGGGAGGGAGAGGAGTGGAGGGTAAAGAGGGAGGGAGAGGAGTGGAGGGTAAGGTTCATTATTCCTAATGTATGTCAACTGCAAAGTCAATATTGCCTCCCTCGGCGCTACCTCTCCATGCAGCCTCTGATGGCAACTAGGCGCTATGGCTACAATGCGTCTGCTTGAACTGCTTCCTCAATGTCGTGATGGCAACAGTGCGGCTGCCATGTCGTGATGGCAACAGTGAGGCTGCCATGTCGTGATGGCAACAGTGCGGCTGCCATGTCGTGATGGCAACAGTGAGGCTGCCATGTCGTGATGGCAACAGTGCGGCTGCCTTGTCGTGATGGCAACAGTGCGGCTGTCCTGTCGTGATGGCAACAGTGAGGCTGTCATGTCGTGATGGCAACAGTGAGGCTGCCTTGTCGTGATGGCAACAGTGCGGCTGTCATGTCGTGATGGCAACAGTGCGGCCGCCAAAACACGATAACAAAATCGGTCAACATGGCACGAGAATCACTTCACGACTGCAATTCTAACAAATTACTCAATTATTTCTTAGCAGATTAATAATGTCACCAGCGTACTGGAAACGTTGCTGTATGACTCGGAAAGCAGGAAAAATATTTGCTGTAACAAATCTGGAGTTTATAAAATTAACTTGGTAAATGATAAATGTGTGACTTGGTATAAAAAGGGATATCATTCTATTAACTAGAGTTAATCAGTTGCATAAATAAAAGCGATACATAATATATAA